GGGCGAAAGAAAAACGACGGAGACCTCCCTTATTTCGGGCAATATTTATAAGTAAATAGCCCAAAGGTTTCGTTCTACAATACTCGAGCATCGTAGCGTCGTACCAAATACCAACCATCCTTTATAGAAAGACTATTACTAATATAATTAATTAATAATAAGGATAATAAAGAAGGAAATAGCTTTAAGCCGGACAATTAGTATTAAACGAACTGTCCTAACTAAGAATAAAAGAAAAAGGAAAAAGAAAAGAAAAGAAATAATATTGTTATAAAATGCAATAGCGCTATTATCCTTTAGGAGTAATATAATAAGGATAAACTACCGCAATATCTTTAATCATTGTCTATTGCTATACTCTAACTATCGCTAGACTAAATTTTAATAAGTTCCAGGACGGCGGCTAAATTAGTAATAAGTACTAGGGCGATAAGCGCTAGGGCGATGGGCGCTAGGGCGGCGACCGGTTTAGTAATAGGCGTTACGGGTTTAATAATTCGCTTTTCAAAGCCTGTCTAAAGTCCGGACCTTATATACGCGTATCGTTGCCCGGCCCGTATTTCCATAAAATACAGGTACCTAGGACCGGTAGGTAAGCCGATAGTCTCAGTAGCGTTATTAAATTCCAACTCGTCCTATACGATTTAGACTACGTACAGCGTCTCAAATACTACATTGATCGTTATACTGATTCTAAATCTTTAATTAATAGCTACGCTAATATTATTCTAATAATTGGCCGTATTTACAGCCCCGTCCTTAGGCAGATTTTTAATAATTTTAAATACCTCCTTAGAGTAGTATATTATATTTTTTATTCCGTCTACTACCTATTCGTACTCCCTAACTATAAAGTTATATCTATATTAGAAGCCCTTATAATCGTTACGTAAATCGATATATTCGTTATTCAATTTACAATAGTCGTCGTATTAATTTTCCAAATCCTTACATTATTTATCTTATTTTTTATAAAATTCATAGTAAATTTATTGGAGTTTATCTAATTCGGCCTAAATAACGTTCCGAGATTTCCGTCTTTTAACCAAACTATTATTAATTATATTAATTAGGTGTTTAATTACCGCCGGGTTAGTAGTATTATTATTAGTAGTAATTAATTAAAGGGCGGTAATTGGTGGAATAGCGCCGGCTATAGTCTATTCGATAGAGTTGAACGTTTTAGGGACCTTAAGTTCTCTAATATTTAGTATAGTAGCGTTCGGCTCTATAATATTTAGGACGGGGGTAATTAATTTAGGTTAATTAGTAACTAGGTTCGTCGGTTCGGCCGGGCCTTTAGGGTGGGCGAATTGCCAATTGTAACGCGCCTTAACGATAGTTACGTACTATATATCGATTAATCTAATATTTTTCAAATAAATAATTATAATACTATATACTTTCAGCTTCAATTATTCGCAGGCGATAATTGGCATATCTACTAGTTTATTAGTATTGAAGGCCTGGACTATTTTATTGACGATAAAATCGAATATTTCTTTCATTTTACACTGTACCGGGGGCGCTATATTATTATCCTAATATACTAGGATTGCGGATTTATTACCGGCGTACGTATAGTGCTAATTAATTTTAATTATTAATATAAAGTTAGCGGCTTTCAAGTTAGTAAGCTACTCTATTATATTATAATTTAAGGTAAGTATTATAAAGTAAGCTGCTTTAACAATAATATAGTTTAACAGCTTAATGCCATTTTCAATAATAGTATTATTAATCCCCTTCCGTAAATTAGCGCCTTTAATAATTATAATAATTTTAAGGGCGTTACGATTGTAGCTATAATAATTATTATTAGACATCCGTTTATAAATGCTATAATCTATTAATATATCCATCACTATAGCTGTTTTTTCTATAAGTAAGTAATTACGGACGATTTATTCGACTTTAGATAATAGGTCGTTATCAGCACGTTCGGCTTAGGGTTTACTAATTTATTTCTTTAATAGTAACTAAATCTACTATTATCCCGCCTACCTTTATATATTAATCAAGTATATAATTATTATTCTATATTGGTTATTATCGGTATTTATTTTTAACAACTATATTCGATAAATAGTATGTTACGTTTATACTAATAGTAAGGTGAGTAGGTATTAAGATTTTTATAAGTTAATTTAAAGTTTATTTAGGGATGGTGTTAATATCGGTAGTAGCAGTAAGGTGAAGGGGTATTAAGATTCTTATAAGTTAATTTAAGGTTTATATAGCAATAGTATTTCTTATTTATAAAATAATAGTATAGGAATTAATAGTAACAATAATAATTATTTGAAAAGCGATAATATTATAAACAATAGTTATTTAGAGAGCAATAGTATAATAGACGATAATTGCTTGGGGAGCGATAGTATAATAGGTAATAGTTTTGGCGGTAATTAAATTAGAGATAAGAAGGCTTTTATATTCGAAATGTACTTTTTAATAGATTTTATTATTAATAGTATCTCGGATAGGGTAATAAGTAGCGCTATGTTAGAAGTTTCTAGCGTTTTACTTTATTTACATTTTATTAAAATAGCGATAATAATATTTAATTTGGAGATACGATCTACTTCAATTACTATAGTTTTATCCACCGACAATTTATTTATACATTCAAATAATTTAGGGTTAATAGGATAAAATCGTTCGTAATTACAAACGAGATTTTAGGCGTTCTCTATCAAACCATTAATATATAGACCACCTCGTAGGTACTATTCATTGTATTCTATACCGTAACCTCTATACTTGACCCAGTACTCAATAAGCGGCTTACGGCTATATTATAAGATTTTTCAATCTATTATTTTTTCAACTTCGTATAATTACCAATCGTCGATATCGCTTTTAATAATAATACAGTCGCTTAATTACTTTTTACAATAGAATAAATCTTTACTTTAGGGGTATTTTCTTAAATAGTTAACTGAAATAATTAGATAAATTTTCTATACGCGGGGCAATTCGAGTTCGTATACAAGATCGTCGACTTTACATTTGACTAAAAACGGGCTAGTTCGCTAGTCGGCGTATTTACGTAATTTAGTTCCTAGTTGGGTATAGCCTTTGTATAGTTATAATATAACTTTATTACCTTCGGCGAATTAAAGTAGTTAATAACTCCAATTAAATATTAATTTATATTTCATTACGGCCCAATCAATAATTTTAACTGCCTCGCAATAATATAAGTATTTAATAGCGTTAAAATTATCTTCCTCGAAGTCTATCAATTTAAATAAATCGAACGCCGTATTTAATTTAAATCCTATTACGATTTTATTAGGTATACGGCCTAACGGCATTAAAAGATTATTATTAAAATTATATTATAACACAGGGAGTATATTTAGCTATAGAATCTCGGGGTTTTCTATTATATAGTATTGAATTACCAGCTTAACCTCCTAGTTTCATCGTTTAATTTAGCTATTCGATTTCGAATTCTATACTATAGTATATACTAATATTATATTTAATTTCCGGAAGACTGCCTTCTATACCGCGGATAGGAATTTCATATCCCAATTTAAAATAGATATTCGAAATAAACTTTAATTACAAAGTAGGAGTATAATAATCAGCCGTTCGACCTATTGGCCGGCAGTATAATCTATTCGGCCGAGAATTAATAAAGTCTTTTTATTAAAATTGCAAATAATAATTATTAACATATTATAATAGTCTCCGCCCTAGACCGTTAATTAACTAATTTACTTTAGGAGCCTTAGAACGAAATTTATATAAATAGTATAGAAGGGTACGGAATAAGGTCGAATAGGCTTTATTAATTTAAGGGTAGCTTTACAATCGGTTCTAAATTTGAAGTATTACAGGTAATATTCTACGTACTATTTTAAAGTTTTTATTATACGAGGAAAATAGAATCCTTCTAACTCTTATATTATCTTTACTAAATTAAAATAATAGTGTTTATCGTATACAAGGGCGAGTATTTCTTATAAAGTATTACTAGGTACGTATAGTTTTACTTTGCTTACTTAAAGAAAGTAGTATAGCAAGCCTTCCTTAAAGCGAAAGGGGAATCGCTTATTAGTATTGAAGCCGAACTTCGCATTACATTCGTTATATTCTTTCAACTTTCGTACAACGGTAGTATAATATATATCTTTAATATAGCCGTTAATAAACTTCGCCTTTATTTCGTTATCTATATAAATATAAATAGTATATGCCGTATCTTTCCAAATATTATCGAGCTCGCTAGTCTCTAAGTATAGCTCGGCTTCTATACCAGGAAGCCTAGATAGGGCGTTTAGTATAATATTAATTTTACTAAGAATATAACGTATATTGAGGTTGAATTAGAATAGATACATAGAAGCAACAATCAATCGCGAATTTAATTTTGTAAGGTCGGTAATATTTAGATTAATTTGTTTGACTATACCGATAAGGGTGCGATAATTTATTAATACAACGATTAATTTAGTATATAATTATATAAATTGCCGGAGGAATTGGCAAGCTTATACTAAATATATAGTTTCGAGTTTAGTTGGTTAATAATTCTTTTCTATAGCGGATAGTCGTTTACTATAGAAAAGGATAGGCTGGATTTTGTAAATAGGAACCGATTTACTATCCTACTAATTACTATCGATATAGAAAATTATAATACTAAAACCCTACTTTTTCGAGGCATTAATCTTGAAAAAGGTAGTTTAGTTAGGGTAGTAATAGAAGATTACTATCTTTTTAGTTAATTAATTTTATAAGATAGTAAATATTTCTTTTTTAAATTTAGTTAGTACGAAATTCAATATATTAATAAATATTTTTCGTACTATTAGGGATTTCTTTTCTAATATCTTACTATCCTTCTTATTAACTTCGATAAATTTAGCCTTCTTTTCTTCTAATAGACCGATTTTTTAGGCGAACTAAAGGATGAATCTTTTCAGGAAGTTAACTAGGCTGATATAGTACTTTAATAACGCTAAATCGGTAGGTTATTAGATATTTCAAATAACCGCGATACGGTCGGTTATAGTAGCTATACTCAAACTATCTACGCAGTAACTTAATAACCGAACGGACGGATAAGCGACGAATGATTTTTTGGGGGTAATATTAAGGTTAATATTTTTAAAGAATTTGAGGATGATTTCTAAATATTTGAGATAGTCTTTAGCTATATTGCTAAATATAATAATATTATTAATATACCCTATTGCGAATATATAGTAAGGATAAAACTTATAGTCGATGAACTATTATATATAAATTGGCGAATTCTTATAATCTATTAACGTAACGTTCAATCGTTCTAATCCTTTCGGATTAATTAAAATTATTCTATTTTAGTACAGTAAGTAAACGTTAATTTAATAAAAGAATGTTAAACTATCGAAGTAATTAGTAAAGTTCTTGCCTTTTATTCTAGCGATAATTAAATCTTAGGTTGGTAATAGATAGGAATTATTAATAATTATACGGTTTAACGGTCGTAAGTTAATTATAACGCGACCTTTGCGAACGTTATTAATAGTATACTAAATAATAAAATAAGAATAGCCAAAAGGTATTACTCTTTATATTTATTCGAATTTACTGTCTTAGTATATTTTATTTAACGTTTTATTAAGGAATTAATAGTTTTAAATTCCGAATTAGTATAGCCTAGATAAGACCTTCTATCTATACTAATTTTCGACGAGGTCGACGCGGAATATATTTTCCTCATTTATTTTAATAATACTACGACCGTTATATACATCGTATTTATCCAGTAGCGCTTTAACGTATTATATATACGTAGGGTCGTAATTATAGATTTTAATACTGTAAATTAATTCGATTTTTAAAATATCTTCGTCTTTACTAATACCGAGGGAGGGGCTTCGTTTTAATAATTCGCAAAGTAATTTCAATACATCTTCCTTAGTTAATTCGTAATCGAGGATATCGTCGGTTATTTCGTTAGCCTTACGTAGAATGTTTGTATTGGGGGTAAGCGTAATATTTTCGAACTTTAGTATAAATACAAATTCTTTATCCGGTTGAATTTTCGCTACGGCTAATAACGTTTGTATTTATATAAAAGAAATAGATCGGTAACTATTATTATTAAGATCTTTAATAATGTTTATTCTTTAGGAATAATAAATCTATATTAGTTTATTAGTTATATTAACTATATTAATGAATTTGGGAGTTTTAGTATTGAGAAGATAATTCCGAGTATAGGGGTACCTAGCTTCGAAAATATATTCTTTAAGTATACCTATTAGTGATTTATCGGTAATATAAGCGAAATCGATAGGAATAAATCGTTTAGAGTATAGTAGAACGACTATATTATAGGTCGCTAATACTCTTCGGCGGATTAGTTTTACTGTATAATTAATCGCTATAACTATATTACTATATATTGGGATTCGTATAGAATTTTTAAATAAATTGATAACGATTTAATTTAGCTGAGTCTATTGTATTCCTAATAGTAACCTTGTAGCCAATCCTTTAATTATTTATACGGTTAATATAAAAATTTATTATACCGGATAATTATTAATATTGCCTTCAATAAAGAGGTTGAATATAGTTTATCTAGTAAAAATGATACAACTACTAACAACGTTAAATGATTTCGTCTTTAAATTATCGAATTTCATATTTAGGCTTTTACTAATTTATTATTCGTCGATTAAAATATTTAAACAACTAGTATTTATATAAATAGAATATTTATTACTGTTTAACGTTAGGCGAATGTTTATTTAGAGGTAATTATATTGTATAGGGTTATTCGACGGGTTCGAAGGACTTTAATCTACTTATTCTATTACTCTGAAAGTTTTAGCTATTTTATTATATTTAATACTATTTATTACAAAGCCTACCGAACTATAGTTTTAATCGCTAAATTGCAGCGGCGATTAATTAGATTAACTAAGCTTAAGTTAGCTAGGTTCGGGTCCCGAACCTAATAGCCTTAGTTTAGTATATAAGTTAGTATAAACGTAGGTGAACATTTTACTACGTATAGGAAAGACTTCATTATACTTTTTATATATTCGGCGATTTATATTATTATATAATAATAAGTAAATAAAACCGGAATCATTATTAGATTTAGTAGTACCCGTAGGAATGCTTATTAATATATTATCTAATAATAAATTAATAGTTAGGAATACTTCTTCCTTTCCTAAGCTATAATTATAATTAACCTCCTCAAAACCTTACCCCTTAAAACGTTCTCCCTTAGAATCCGGCTCATCTATTTCTTTATACATTTCACATTCATTTTTAATAATATAAATACTATTATAAATTAAACTAAATTTAATATACCAACAATAAATATATTAGTACGGACAATTCTATTAATACTAGCCACAACTAAATAAACCTCCGTATTAACCGGACGATAAGCTATTATATTTACAAAATAAACCCTAATAATTATTACCCAATAACCTACAATATCCGTATAAAGACGAACCTCCGTAGTACGATTATAAACCGCTTTAATATCCGCCTAACGACGATCTGCAATACTTGGAATAACCGCAGTTTAAGGGGGCTAAAGATGACCTTTGGTAATTATTATTACGATTAAAGGACGGGCTAGGGTAGTTACGTAGGCGGTCCTCCTTTCCCTAAAGCGCTATATCTAGGTCTTTTTTAGTATATTCCTCCTACTTTATAAAGTTTGCGACTTCAATAGCTTTAATATTAGAGAATTTACTATTAAATTCAACCCTCAGCATACGCTTATTAAAACTACTACTATAACCGCCCAAATTATTAATAATTTTAAGCCGATGGGTTTCCGTACGCCGATCTAAATAAGTCAACCATTCATCGAAAGTTATATTGTCGGCGGGTTCGACAACCAAATCTTTAAGGCCGGAGTATAAATAATTATAAATTCGGACTATATACGTACCGCGATCTTTTTTACCGAATTCCTTCGAATAGTAGATAACTTCTATTATAATATTACAAGGTAGTTTACTAGCGCGATAATCTTTGTACGAATATTCTAATACATCGAATTTAGCTAATACCTAAGCGCGGAGTATCTTCCAACGTATAAGAATTGCAACGTACTAATTATCTAAATTCTACTTTATAACTACACGGGTCTTCGTATTAAATTAATTTATATACTATACCTTCATTCCGCTTATAAACAATTAGTAGAAGTTCTTTCGAAGTATATCTACCTTCAGATTATTATTAACGGCATTATCTCGGATAGTTTTAATAAAGAGATGCGGCGAGGTAATATAAATTTTATCCTTCTTCTAAAAGTAGTCGCCTCTAGTATTATTATTTTTTTCCTTTATATTAGGCTAGAAATAATTAATTATCGAGATTTTCCATCCGCCGAACGTAGTAGATTAAAGGGAATTAGCGAATTAGTTAACTATAACCTCAAGTTTATCGTTATTTATCTTACCTATAGCTTTAATAATACAGGTAATATAACGGAGTTCTTCATCGGCGTTTAACAATTCTAATTCGCCACCTTCGCCAATATCATCATTATTATTATTAATACTTTCACTACAATTACTATACTAATTACCGCTTTAATCGTTATTAATAGTAGTACTACTACCTATATTTAATTAGACGGAACTTATACTACTTTATTTAATTAATTATCGTTAGCGTTAAATAACTACTTAGAGGCTACGGGGTATACGAAGCAATGTGTGTAATACCTTTTACTTTTTAATAGAAGATTGGGAATTGGGGGGTAATTTAACTATATATTAATCTCTAAGCAGTAATCCCGCGATATTAGGGAAAAATAAAGTTTTAATTAATAAGGGGGGCTTTAGGGGTAAAAGTATAAGTATAACGCTAAGCGGGCTTCGTAGTTTATATTAGAAGGTATAAGGATAAAGGAGGTTAATATTTAAGAGCAGGGTTTTAATAGATTTAAGGGCATTAACCAACAGTCTAACTTAAGTTAGCGCTTTCCTTTTTTACTATTTTAACGGCCTTAAAGGCATTATTAATTGGGTATTTCGTTATTTATTTTAGCGTAGTAAAGAAGGAATTTAGAGATTTTACTATTTAGGTACCTTCCTAGGAGGCTCTAGGGATACCATTCAGTTTAATAATAATCATTTATTATCGGTTAGACGTAATTAATAGTCGGTTATTAATAAACTTAGGTTAATTATATTTATAATTAATAGTTTAATTGGGTTATTCCTTTTAATATTTAGCATTATTATATCAGTATTATTAGCCAGTATCGGCGTAGTATAATCGATATTTAAATTGGAGTCGGAGGAAATAACGATCGTAATCTTAAATTAAATTTACTACGATTAGTCTTATATTAGAAGGGAAGTCTATTAAAATCCGACGTTCGCTAAGTATTGGGTAGTTTGGTTAATAAAATTAATTATTACATTAGGTAGTACATTGGGTATAAAAGTATCTAATCCGGTAGATATAGAGGTTTTGGCTATACGAGGATATTATATTAAATTTAATCCGTATTGGTTTAAATAAATTAGCAGTTCGTTTATTACTATATTACGCTCTTCCTTTACGTCGATTATTTCCGTATCAAAGTCTTCAATCTCCTCGTTATATAGCAATACATTTTCAAAGAGATAATATTTACTATCATTATTATCTTCAGTATTATTTTCCAATTCTTTAATTTATAGACTATTATTATTAATAGGAAATAGTTCAATATCTAGCGAGGAAAATAGTTCATCTATTGAATCGAAGAAACTTCGACCTTCAAAGTTGAACAATATAGTTTAGGTAGGCGTTTTGATAGTACTATACAATTATTTATCTTCTTTATTAATATTTATAAGTAGTTATTCGGACGGTTAATTATTCAAGTACAAATATAGAAGTGATCCTATTAGTGTAGTTGATTTTAAAAGGTTAGTCTTTAGGTTGCGGGTATAAGTAATAGTCGGTCTATTATTAATAACCTCTTCGTTGTTAGGGTTATCGGCTTGTTGATTTTCGTTTTATTTAGTTATAGTAGGGAAAAGTATAATATTCGGTCGTTAGTCGACAATTGGTTAATTATTTTAATATTTATTACTATTCGGTCGTTAATTAATAATTAGTTAATTACTTTAGTATTTATTACCGCTCGGTCGTTAGTCGACAATTGGTTAGAGGGGTAAAATGAATTTAATTACTACTTCAAAAAATTATTTAGGGATATAGTAATTAAGAGTCCAACTATCTAGATATAAGGATAAGGACGTTCATTGGAATTAACATATTGCCCGCGTTATAAATAATGAAGTAACTGATGCGTTCTTATTAGGTAGGGGTAGTATCGCGATAATTCGGCTAAAAGCCTCGCGTTTTAATTAATTTAGCCATCCGACCTATTAGAAGCGTAGGTTTAGATAGATGAAATCCGATATGTAGCGTAGATCTCTGATAGTTACCGGGTCGGCTAAGTCCATTTTAGGCATAGTATTGATGGATGACGATGATTGATTGGTTGGATGACGGCGGTCCGTAGACCGATATACAATTTGCGTACAAAGTGTAAAGGTCGGGCGAAATAGTTATTAATAAAGAAATAATTTCTAAAGAGAAATCCAACGGTATAGTATGGGATAGGATAATAGTTCAATTCAATTGTTTATTAGGTACTATTGTGAAATGAATAGTACGATGGAAGTAAAATAGTCTGAATGTATTGTCTGGAGAAGAATCTAACTATTGGGAGGTTTACTGTTATTCGGGTCTTATACTCTTATTCTATGTCCGTTGATCCTACCTGCCAGTGGTCGCCTCAATGGTCGTCCTGACCATGGATGGTCGTCCTGACTATGGCAGGGTCAACGTCTCACACTAAAGCTATACATATCGTAAAGACTTTAGAAAAAACAGGAGAAAATAATAAAATATTAAAGATATTTATTATTAAAGTAAATAAATTTATAAACTATAATACTATTTCGACCGAAGACCGACGCTAAATTCGAAAGCTATTTCTCAAATTCGCGAAAGTAAGCATTAAAAAAAGTAAGTCCCCGCAATCCGAGGCTAATAAGGTTAGAGCCGAATAGTTTATTACTAAGACGAATTTCGATAATTTAAAGAAGGATATTTTAAAGGAGATTAAAAAAGGTACTTAAAAAATATTACAGTGCTAAACTAATATTATAGCGAAAGCTGTCCTAAATAAAATTAGTACTACCCTTTAATAATTACCTACTATTACTATTAAAAAGTTTACCCTTTCCAATTTCGAATAGTAATTTACAATTGAGGGAACGACAATTATTACTAAATTTATAAATTACTTAAACGGAGATACGAAGACAACCTTAACTATAAATTTAAATAAGAAGAAACCTAGTTTAATAATTTATACGGCTATTCAAATACTAATAATTAGAAATTATATAATTATATTCAATAAGTTTATATATAGTTAGTACTAATAGAATTAAATATAAATTAAAGAAGTTTTTAGTTCGAATACCTTTATTACTATAAATATTATAAGTATATTAATCCGAAGCGTCCTCTAAATTAGTATTAATAATTATACGATAGTAGAAATTTTAATAAAAGCGGCAAAGGAAGGAAATACGGAGGTAACTATCATTAAAGTTCGGTTATAGAAGAGAAGGAATAAAGAGAGTAAAAATCTATTCCTAATAAAAATTGCTATTATATTAATAGTATACTTCCTTTAAAATAACCTTTTTCTTTAGGATAGTAGTATATATCCGTACGAATTATTCTAAATTTCAAATAACGTTTTATAATATTAAAAATATTAGAGAATCGGACATATAGAAAAATTCTATTATTAGGAAAATATTTATACCTAATATAACGAGGTTAAATATAAGGAGATTATTTCGGTAAAGTGAATTACCTATTTAATAAAAATTAATTATTCGTTTATTATAAACTATATAGGAAGAAGGGATATTTTACTTATAATTATAAGGAATGTTTTATTCTTTAGAAGATTATTACGAAGGTATTCGTTATATATATTAAGAGGCTACGGGCGTTTACCCCCTATAGGAATTTTATTAGGAAGGTATTAAAGTTAATAATAGAATTTATAAACGAAGGTATTCTACCGGACGCCCCTTTTAATACCTATACTATGACTACCTTAGAGAAATAATTTATAGGAAATATAAAGAGAGGATAATTAAGGAAAATTATTAATTAAACCTCCCGATTAAAACCTTTAATCCTATGGGGTTTAATTAATATTTACTATTTATATTCGTAAAATATAAGAGGGAATTGGACGTATAGTAGTAGTAGTATTTATCCGGCCGTAGTCCCTCTTAGGGAAATAATATTCTTATCTTCCGTTTTGAAATTAAAAGAAACCTTATTTTAAAATAATTAATAATTTAATTAAAAATACTTTATTAAAACGTAGGGAAGTTATATAAGAGAGGGAAATTTCTATTTGAATTAGAGGAGACTTATAATATTATAATAATTTAAGAGTTAGGTAGGAATTTGAATAAGGATATTTACTATTCGAAAAGCAGAAGGTATTTTAAGGTTAATTATTTGGAAGGAGGAAGAGTAGTAATATATATAAATTGAAAATAGGATTTAAAAGATTTAAATGTCCAATTTAGGAAAGATTAGGCTATAGTAATATTTAAGAATTAGAAGGATTTAATAATTATTTATTCTATTTACTCCCCTATTCTAATATAAGGAATGTTAAAATATTAATCGGGGTCGCTACTTCTTAAATTCTTCGAAATTAGCCCCCCGGCGGGAAATTAAATTACAATCGGGGAGTTTAATTTCTATTATCCTAATTAGGATTTAGAAAATAGGATTAGGTTAAGGGCTATTCACATCCTTACATGGGTATAATATTAGAAATTTAATTTATTTACTCCCTATAATAAACCGATAAAATTCGGGAATATAATATAAGAAGAAAAGGATAGAATAATTAATTATATATAGTTATTACCTAGGGTTAAAGTTAAATATTAGGGAATATAATAGTATAAATAAACCGGTTCGGACTATTACTTTTAGGAAATTTAAATCTAATTAAGAAAAAGGAATAGAAAAGTAAAAAAAAAGAAAAATATAATTAGAATTTATAAATATAGTAAAGGTAAAGGAGGCAATAGAGAAATAGATTTTAATCCCTAAAAAGATTAATATAATAGGAAATATTAAATTTACCTTTTGTAAATTCGATAGAGAATTTATAAATATTATAGAAGAATTCGTTCTATACCAAAAGAAAAGTTGAGGGAAAAAAGTAAAT